GCGGATTTGTTGTGGCAGAGAGTTTACAAGCTTTTTGGTTGTGGCTGGTTTGTCGGAAGCATCTTGCTAACCAGTTGGCAACTTAGTGCTAGTAGGTTCCCAATGGGAAATTACATTGGGACCAAGTAGCACTTAGCAACGAAACTGTCAAGGAATGCTATGGACAGGGAAAACATGCAAGAGGAGGAGAGTTTTATGTCGTAGGTCGTGGATGAGTGTCCTACTGTACTGTATGTCATCAATTTTTTTATTTTTGGGAGGAAAGTGGGGACAAAGATGTTGTGAAAGAGGAGAAGCTTTGTTTGGTGGACAAGGCTTAGAGCCGTACATGTTTGAGCCCTTGCCTCGCAACGCTGCCAGTTCTGTTAGCTCTACGCCTGCTGAAGACACAGACGTCCATCCCTGGGAGACTGGGACGTAACTCAATGGTAAAGTATATGATTCTGATTTCAACAGTTGCGTATATTAGCTGCGACATATGAATCAAAATGCTATGACCGAAAAAATTTGATTGACACATGACCGTTGATATATGATTGGCTGAATTTAGGTGTTCAAGCTCAGGTATAACTAACTGGCCTGCATAAAATAACGGAAAAACCCCCCACAGATTATAAGGCAGGATTTTTTTTTTTTAAATAGAAATTTTCAAACTTTTGGGACAATAGGGTCTGATAAAGAACACATTTATATACATGTTTAAGCCAGAATGATTTGAAATTCAAATATGGCTTCGCTACTACTTTAATTATCCTTATCATAAGGGCCAATAACTGTGTGTGGACTTTACTTCTTTACAGGAATTGTACTGTCTATTACCAAAAATATAAATAAAACTTGAGTATGGTTCCAGCTAAGAAAATTTATATGAAACAATATCTAAAATATCTTATCATTATAAAGAATATCTCAACATTATTTTGACAGTATAAGAGATAATCCGCAAAAAGAAAAAAAAGGACATAGTTACTGTTGTAGTTGTAGCTTTTCTATATGCTGCCAGAGAGTAAGCGGTAAAATATCTATATCAGTGTAGCAATATCTTCCAAACACCCACTCCAGATATGATGCAGGATGTTGAGAGCAAAGCCGTAGAGGACAGGATTGTGAATGTTCTCACTGCTTCCTAGGCTATTTGTAGAAATGTCAGCTGTCATCAGAAACATCAGCAAAGAGACAAGCGCTGTTCACAACTGTGGTAGGTTGTGGTGTGGAATGAAGGGAAATGTTGAGCTGGGATAAAATCATTCAGTATCACCGGCTTTGTTCATCATTTTGATCACTAGGCAGAGATACTGTTAAGCCAATAAGCTTTTAGAAAATATATAAGCAGATGATCTAAAATAGCTGAGAAGTAGAACAGCTTAAATATCTCTTTTCAGAATAGGATGCATTACAAAACACTGCATCCACCGTCTCCAACATTAAAAATAGCCACATATACAGTAATACAAGTAGCAATATGCAGCTAAAAGCAGGCTGATAAACTGTGCGAATGTGCAGAAAAGCAGAAGGTAGCACATGCATATTTGCATTTGTAACGAAAGCAAAACGAAATGTTTTCAACACATGAATATATGTGCATCATCGTTTGCCTAAACGCTACATATTTCACCTCCAGATGATGATTCAGCAGTTCAAAGATGCATAAATGCTTATATTTCTAGCCCATTGCCAGAAAATAACAGGTTGTTTAAGCAGAGCACAAAGAGATAAAAAAATAAATTGCAACATGCAATGTTCCTTTTGAGGTGTCTCCAACATATCTCCATATCTTTCACTTTAAATGTCCTTATTATATGGGAGAACGTGATGTGGGCTACAACCACAATCTCTAATATAATCCTGATGAAGACTCTTAGATTGAAAACAAGAAGGTTTGAAATTATTGCTAATGGATATTAACCTTGTTTTAGGTTTAACCTTATACTGCAAAAGAAAAAAAAAACAGATAAAGAATCAGAAGTAGAAGACAAAATAATAAGTTTGGCAAATAATGAAAAATTTTAAATTCAATAAGTTTTGTCATCAGCTGTAAAATATTGAGATGCCAAAATATTCTTAGAAATGCTCAATATGTGTTTTCCAGTAAGCTAGTGGGATCACTCCCAATGAATATTCAAGGTCTGAAAGTGACATGTATTTGTTTATGTCTATTAAGTGTCGCTGACGTAACCGGAACTACTCCCCTCTGAAGACACATCCCTCTGGCTGAGGTTTTAAAAGGTAACTTCCTGTTCAGCGTCCAATTTGCCGGTGGTCCTCGACTGCCAAAGGCTAGATACTAAAGCATTTCGCTGAAGGCTATGCTAAGTAGTGACCAAATCCCTCTTGAGAAGTCTGCGCTCATTGGACAGAGTCAGACTGCCTTTTTCCTGTGATTCAGAAGGTGCTAAACGCAGTGTTTTTATTCTTCCTGCAAATCAAATGGATTTCAACGCAGTGTTCCCTGAAGCCTGCTGCAGCAGAGACAGAGAAGAACTAATCCAGCTCTGCTAACCTGAACCTAACCGCAGAACAATGGGGACCCAAACACTGTTAGCAGAAGGAGCCTATACAGGCCGCCAGACCCGTGACTGCCTGAGACGGAGAGACGGAGTAGCACTGAGGAGGGGCTGCTAAAGGCTGCTGCTTCAAGCTACCCACCGTAGATACGTAAAAGGGAGACGTCCCGTGCCACCGTGAGTTATAAAATTAACCCCCTTGCAAAATCGCCTCTTATTATTGCATTTGATTGATCCAAATCTCTCTGAGCTGCTGTTGGACTGAAGACGGGGCCTGCAGAAAACCAGACCGAAGGCCTTCACTCCACTGAACCAAAACAGTAACATCATCCTTCCCCCTCTTTTCCATCTGATGCTTAATAAGTATTCTGCTTGGGTGAACAAGGTAGAATAGGTAGTCGTGTTGGTGTTTTATTTGAAATAAGCTTTCTGATTCACCTGCTGATGGTTTTAAGAGTTTAACTGAATGCTAATACTCACTACATAGCAATGGCGGCTGGTGGAGTTTTCTCCAGGGGGGGCTATAAATTCAAAATAGACATATACCAAAAACCAATCAAACATATACTAAGTTATAACACCAATATATTCATATGAATGCAAACAACAAAAAACATTATAAAAACACTTTAAAAAAATATTAATTCCACAAACAGATGTACCTTTTGTACATAAATGTTGCTCTTCTGAGGCTTTGTGAATACAAATCTGTGTTTTGGTCCTGGTCCATTATTGTTTCACAGAAAATAAGCATCAGTTTAATAATGGAGAAGCTATTTATATATTTTTCAATATATAAAAAGTATTTATTTTCTGAGCATGTGTATAAGGGAAACTATGGAAATAACAAGTGCCTAGAAAAAGTACAAAATATCATAATATTTTCCATGTGAATCCCAGATTGTTCATGTTTCTTTGCATTTTCTTTGTGGCGGGAGGTGGTTAGCACACTTTCAAATGCATTAAGCCTTAAACTTTGAACATCCCTCAGACTTTGAACTGAGTTTTAAATCCCTATTTCCCTTTTATTTCTTTATTTTGGTTAGTTATTAGATATAATACTGTGTGATTGTAGCCAATAAAGGTACCATTGTAACTTAACCCGCAGTGTTTTGTATTTTATTTTACTCAGTGAACGATTTATCACTCTGGCTGGATTCACTCTTCATCAGTAGCTTCCGAGTGAACAGAAACACATTTAGTTGATAGGTGTTTAATAATATTGCTACGAGCCATAGCCTAAATGACTAAATTGGTGAAAGACAACTGAATTTTTAACAGCGGGATTCAGGGGTCCAATCTTTTTAGTAAGAGGCTAAAAAACCTGGTCAGTAAGCAAATTAGAGTTGTAATCTTTCAACTGATAATAATTAATTATTTTTACCGTGGATTTGAATGACCTAGTAATTAACTATAAGTTCCAGTTCTAGTTATTTACTATATTCATAATCTTCTGGTAAAAACACACAACATTTGCTTTAGTCAGAGTGCCCAAAACAGGGGGACAAATCACCTCAACAGAGGTTAGAGGAGATAGCATTCTGAGCTCAGACAGAAGCAGTGGGGAATCAATGACAAAGAGAGCACTTTAATAGGTGGCCAGCCATACCCGCTTTTAGAGCTAAGGAACCAAAGCAGTAGATTTGTTGAAGTCCTCTGGGCAGAAAGTGCAAGGGAGGGGATAGGTTACAGTTGATCACAGCTAGACCATAAGGGCTAAGAGCAGAGAGTTGAAGGAGCCCAGTGAAAGATCAAATAAGTATTTGGAAAACAGAATGCGGAAGGTACGGGAGAGGCAACTGCTGGCCAAGAGCAGGCAAGCAGAAGCCTGCCTGGGAGAGTGAGCAGGGAAGGGCCAAAGCTAGCCGAGACTAGGCTTTAGTGTCTACCTGTTGGATGTTGAACAATGACAGCGGTGGATCACAGGAGCCTGCAAGGCAAACAGAGGTAGAGCCATGAAACAGTCCTAGAGCTAGATTAAAAAAAGCTTTTGTAATAGCGCCCTACAAACTCCTTAAGAGAATTCCCACATCATCCTTTGTCAAAATTATTTTCTCTATTGTTTGTTTTGATTGAAAAAAAGCTTATCTCTGCAGCCTCCTTCACTAAAACAGTCATGAAACTGTCTCATCTCCTATAATTTTGAGACCTAATAACACAATGTCAATGTACATGAGAAAACAGTTGAAAAATTTGCTGTTATCGCCTATTGGCAATCAGCAAATACTGATTTTTGTCATCAGTGATTAACTGTCAAAATCCTGATCGGTGCATTTCCAGGTTTACCATTTGATCAATTTTGATCAGAGATTTTAAATGGCTTTCTTAGCACTTATAACCTCAGTTGCGATTACGTTTTTAAGGCTCCATTACTTGAGCATTTTCAAAATACTGACATTCAAAGAAAGAGCATTACGCTTTTGCACCCTAGTTTTTAAGCTTTTGATTTTGCAACATGAGCAGTAACTGCAATAGTATTTAACACAGACACCACACCTATTCACAAAGAGAAGGTTACCACTACCCTTGTGAAGGTTTGAATTGGTCCTTGTGGCAACACATAAACAGTTAAGGCAATGCCATCTAATTTGTGGTAGCTCTAACCATACTTTTTTTAATACTTCTCTTTGCAAGCCTGTTCTCGTTTGATTACAAAAACTAAATGAGATCAGGCTTGGTTAGTGGATGAATGGGAGACCACCTTGGATTAGCAGGTGGTCTAAGCGTTATTTCTACTGCTGACCTGTCCAGGGTGTGCCTCGTTTTTCGCCCATAGACTACTAGTGATAGCCACCAGTCCCACTGTGACCCTGATGGATAAAGCGGGAGAAGATGGATGGATGTAATGCCCACAAATCTATCTGCCTAATTGAAGCAAGAGGCTGCAGAAACTTTAAACTGCCACTGTTTTAACTTTCTTTAAAGATAATTGTGCTGCAAATGTAATACTTGCTTCTATATATAAGATGTAAATGTTAGGAGATTCACATTTAGCCATCTTACATCGAAAAGTGTAGGATCCAACCATAAAAATCTAGGGGTAAAATATTACACAGTCACAATGCTATATAAACGAAATACAGGTTCAAAGAAGAGTCAAATAAGTCATTATAGAACGCTTTCAGCAGTGCTAAGTGTAGGAGTTGGCAGTGGTTTCTGTAAACAGTGTGGGCATGCACAGGAGTAATAGTGAGTGTAAAGCGGCCACATAATGCAGCCTGCAAGTTGAATTTCACCAGTTGTTGCTGTAGCTGATAAGCTGCTGCTGAGGCATAAATGAAACAGCTAATGCTGATGCAACTCAGAAATCTGAATGCAACACCCTTTCAGTTATGAAGTGCTAATGACAATTCTAAAATGTCTAAACCACTCCTACATGCACACACATAATCGCTGAAAACAGTACAAAAAAATATTCAGAACCTCTTTCAAAAATTTATGGCTGCCTTTATTTGACTTGGAGACTGGAAGAGAGCATGGGCCTGGCTTGGAGCACTGTAGTTAAGCAAATACTCCCTTTAGAGAGTTGAAGAGAGGAAGAGAAACGGATGAAAGCAGAAAAGGAATGATAACTGGAGAAAAAAAGAGTATAAAATGAAACACAGGGTAACAGAGAAATGGAAAGCAGAGACAGAGAGGGAGATGCAAGAAAAGGATGGAGGGATAGAGGTAGCTCAGGGAAGCAGAGCAGGGAGACGTGACCCAGATTGGGAGCCTAACAGGAGCAGCAGCTGAGTGAGCCGGTGAATCTTTAATAGCTGAAACCACTTGCACGCAGATACACACATACAAACACATGCACAGATCCACGACCGCCCCCCACACATACGCTGTTGACTGTGACTCTTGTTGCTCGAGTTAAACTCAAGCCTGTTGAATCACTTTATGTATGAAGAACACAAACAGAGTCCAGTCATGCAGTGGTTTTACTGGTGATACTAGTGAGTAAGGCTAGAAACTAAGGACATGTTTTTTGGTTTTTTTTTTAAGCTGTATTACATTAGGTGCTCATTGAGAAAAAAAAAAAAACTTTTGTCCAGCATCTTTTGTACAAACAAAATTAAACAGATCAAAATTTAACAAACTTTAATTTACATATACACTTGAATTGATATACAGTATGCAACAAGAGCAGGGAATTTTCCATTTATCCAAAACACGTGAAAAAATTGCTCTGCTTCAGTTTTTAGGGGGGATCAAACAACAATTAGGAAAGGAATTGGGTGTCATATAATTAAGTGTGATGCAAAAAAAAAAAAATATGTTAATCCTTGATCAGTAATATTCATTTCTAATAAGACATTCACCAAAACTAAGGAATTTCCACCAGTGGATGTTCAGCAGACATTGTCATGGCAACATTCAGCTGAGTTGTGTTAATAGTTGACATGTAGTTTGCCATATTACTTACTCCTCAATCAGTGGTGTAAAACTCATATTCTTGTGGGCCATTGTCCAGCATATTTTAGATGCCTTACACCTGAATCAAATGGCTATGCTGTGCTGAACCAGAGACACATCACAAAGTGTAGGAAATGAGGCCTCCTGGACTGGAGATAAATAAATGTGATTTTAAACCACAGTTTTATTTTAAGAAAAGATATAGACAGGCATTATGTACATTCTATGGATTAATGCAATGATCTGGATATAATAGCCATTGCTTAGAAAATCAGGATCCAAAAAACGTCAATAAAAAAGCTTTTTTAAGGCTTCTCCTGTTGCATAAACATGTGCCACAGCTTAATTGCTTTTTTTTAACCCTTTGAACACCTCAGCCTATCTGAAATTACAGACAAGGAGTTCAACACCAGTTGCCAAATCTGAACCTTGGTTTTTTCATACAGCCTCTGAAAAACAGAACTTATCTTCCACCGTCCTCACGTGGAGACAGTGGCGCTGGATGCAGGAGTTTGCCCTGTAACCAAAGGGTCATCAGTAAGGCTTTCAATTTTTTTGAGTCCTTTGGAAAGACACCTCATGCCTACTGATGCTGGTCAGAGGGTCTGATGGTGCCTGTGTACAGCAGCCTCGCTTTTGTCAGGGGTTAAAACCAGGGGTTAAGGTAAGGTGGAACAATCTGGTACCGTGTACCTGTAAAGGCTTTAGTGCCGTATTCAGTTCCAGGAAGACCTACTGCCTGCTATTAAGTCACTATATTCAGTGTGCAGTTAGCAATCTAAACATCCAATGAGATGAGTGTAAAGTGTTGAAATCTCATCTTTAAGACAACGTTGCTTGCCTCGATTTCGTGGCTATCATAAGTGTATTTTGATGCCCCTGGGAGACATAACCAGGGGCATTTAACCCCTTACCTCCCACATTTTTAAAGCTTGTGAACAGATGTATTGCATACCGAAATGCCATTGGTCAGTGAAATAATACAAATCCCACATGCTCATTTGAAAGCTGAGAGCTTCTGCTTTCTCTATATCTTTACAAACTCTGTACGTTCTACTCAACTTGAGCTATGTAATTCAACAAGTCGCAAAAAATAAAAATTTCCCTTGCATAGAAATAAGCAATGTTTAGATTAGATTGCTTCAGAAAAAGCAACGTTTAGATAAGATTGATTCGGATAGAGCATCTCTTATGCTAACTCTTACCCATACCTTCGAACCCCCTCTATTACTCTTTCAATCTCTTTGCTGTCACCACTGATTCTGACTAGGGATTGTCCTCTAACCTATTGAGATATTGATGATAACTGTTACTTTGTGTCTACTTTGTGAGTCGCTTTAGATACTGTACAGTATAAGCAATTGGTATAAATCATATTGACCTCTCCAACTCACTATGTGGTAATGTGGCCTTTTTGTTTAGTTGCATGTTTTCTAATTTTGGATTTTCTTTATTTTTGAACTTGTTTGCTTGTTTCAATTTTGTGTATTGCATGTTTTTTGGGGATTTTGTTTGGAGGCCACATTGACACTCACACCTGGACACGCCCACAGCAACGGCACAGGTGTTCCCCATCAACCAGGCAGCGTGCTGACTGGGACGCTGATTTAAAAAGGCAGCTGTTTGGTTGGGGAGACAGACACCGGACATGGGAAGGCCGATCATGGAGGAAGCCGGACGGAGCGGGTGAGAGGGAAGCAGCGGGAGAGGTTTGGGGACGCACGCCGGAGCGAGGTGCAGGGACGCGCACCGGAGAGACGCGCACCGGAGAGGCGCGCACCGGAGAGACGCGCACCGGAGCGAGGTGCAGGGACGGAGCGAGGTGCAGAGACGCACACCGGAGCGAGGTGCAGGGACGCGCACCGGAGCGAGGTGCAGAGACGCACGCTGGAGCGGGGTGCAGAGAGGCCCGTCATGGAGCGAGGCGCAGAGGCACGCTGGGGAGAGGCGCGTGTTGGAGGAGACCTCGCAGGCCAGCTACGCTGGAGAGGCCCACATGCGCAGCGTGCCGGAACGAGGACCCAGCGCTGGGGTGGATGCGCGTGTTGAAGGCGACCTCGCTAAGGCCAGCTATGCTGGAGAGGCCCACATGCGCAGCGTGCCGGAACGCGGATCCAGCGCTGGGGTGGATGGTGCCCTCCATTATACCCGCCAAGTGCGCGTCTTTTAACAGACTTGCCCATTGACTCTGCTGCTCTTCACCATCCGTATTTTTATCTTTCTTTTTAACCCTTTTCCTTTTAACTTATCTTTTTATCTCTTTTTTATTGGATTTTAATCCATTAAACTTTTTGAGGCCCTGCTCACAATCGCCGCAGTCTGTCCGGTTTTTTTTTTTTTTTAAGATGATCGCACCTCTCGGGTGCCACAGATTCTGGCGTTTTGCTTTCTAGGATTGCGGGGTTGTGAGCAATGTTTTAACGGATTTTATTTTATTTATTTTTTTAAGATCAGATGGGAAGGTGCTCTCCCATAAGACTATGGATCGGCCGGGACGGGCCTTGTTAAAGTGTGGGGGGATGTGGTAATGTGGCCTTTTTGTTTAGGTGCATGTTTTCTAAGTTTGGATTTTCTTTATTTTGAACTTGTTTGCTTGTTTCAATTTTGTGTATTGCATGTTTTTTTGGGATTTTGTTTGGAGGCCACATTGCCACTCACACCTGGACACGCCCACAGCAACGGCACAGGTGTTCCCCATCAACCAGGCAGCGTGCTGACTGGGACGCTGATTTAAAAAGGCAGCTGTTTGGTTGGGGAGACAGACACCGGACATGGGAAGGCCGATCATGGAGGAAGCCGGACGGAGCGGGTGAGAGGGAAGCAGCGGGAGAGGTTTGGGGACGCACGCCGGAGCGAGGTGCAGGGACGCGCACCGGAGAGACGCGCACCGGAGAGACGCACGCCGGAGAGACGCGCACCGGAGAGGCGCGCACCGGAGAGACGCGCACCGGAGCGAGGTGCAGGGACGGAGCGAGGTGCAGAGACACGCGCCGGAGCGAGGTGCAGGGACGCGCACCGGAGCGAGGTGCAGAGACGCACGCCGGAGCGAGGTGCAGGGACGCGCACTGGAGCGGGGTGCAGAGACGCACGCTGGAGCGGGGTGCAGAGAGGCCCGTCATGGAGTGAGGCGCAGAGGCACGCTGGCGAGAGGCGCGTGTTGGAGGAGACCTCGCAGGCCAGCTACGCTGGAGAGGCCCACATGCGCAGCGTGCCG